GAGAAATTAAAATAAAAAGAGCTCAGGAAGAGCTTCCTTTGAGCGCTGCACTTTCAGTGTTCAGATTTAACTGTTGTTTTGTCTTGCTTCTGGGAAAAGGAAGTAGAGTTCCCTGAAGTGCCCTGTGGCAGGAGGAGATGTAGGACCTGATGGTTTTGGTTCCCTGAAGACGAGTCCTCAGATATGACAAACAGCATCTCAGCAGAGATCAGTGGCAATTGCAGGGGCCGCGGCACCACTCAGTCCCCTTTCGGAGCTAGTGAGACAACGGTGACTGTGGGAGATGGAATTTTACTGTCCATGGAAGCACCATGCCAGAAGCAGGAGCTCCCCAGGGACTGGACAGGATTTTTCAAGGTGTTTCAGCCCCCAAGAAGTCTAAGGGGTTGCTGAAACACACTGCTTTTGGTTGCCTTCCCATCTCCATCCTTGCTGGTCAGTGGGATGTTGGGGTGCAACCTTGGTTCTCTACCATCTGGGGGAGTGCAGAAGGGGAAGGCATTGTATAGGCACCAGTTGGGAGCACTGCCGTTCCACCCAGGTGGCCCTCTTCTTTCTCTCCCCCCACCCATGCATGATGGCACAGTTGAAATGAAATCAGGGGCTCATTGGACTGCTGTTGATGTGACATCATTTTCTGTAGCCATCAGCAGACAAAGGAGCATTGTGACGAGTGTCATGGTCACTGCCTTTGGCTCCCCACCCCAAGTGACCAGCACAAATCCAGAGCAGGACTTGAACGTGCACCTCTAGTGAGACACCTTAACCCCTCTACCACTGTGCTGCTTTCAGCCCCATCAGGTCTGAATGAAGGAACCTATTTCACTGAATCACTATAAAGTTCAAATGCCCAGTGTGGCAGCTTTGGCTATTCTGTCACTGGGTCCCCTGCCCAGTGACAGAGGATCATAAACAGTGACTCTTAGGAACATAGGAAAGTAGGGTTGTAAGGGACCTCACAAGGTCATCTAGTCCAGCCCCCTGCTCAAGGCAGGATCATCCCTGACTCAGTCATCCCAGCCAGGTGTTTGTCTACCTGGCTTCTGAAAGTTTTCAAGGGTGGAGAGTCCACAGCTTCTCTAGGTAGCCTGTTCCAATGCCTTACCACCCTCATAGTCAGAAAGCTGTTCCTAATCTCCAACCTAAACTTCCCCTGCTGCATCTTGAGATCAGTCCTGTGCCCTACAGCCACAGAGAAGTGCCCATCTCCAACCTCTCTATAATCACCCTTCAACTATTTGGAGACTGTTATCAAATCCCCTCCTCAGTCTTCTCTTCTCCAAGTTGAATAACCCTAGTTCTTTCAGCCTTTCTTCACAAGTCTGGTCTCCCAGGCCCCTAATCATTTTTGTTGCTTTGCATTGGACTCTTTCCAATCTATTCACATCCTTCTTGAAGTGTGGGACCCAAACCCAGTACTCCAGGCGAGGCCTCACCAGTGCTGAAAAGAGTGGAAGAATCACTTCCCTTGATCTAGCAGGTGACACTCCTGTTAATACGTCCCAGGATGCTGTTGTTTTTTTGCAACAAGAACACACTGTTGACTTGTATTCATCTTATAGTTCACTGTAACCCTAGGTCTTTCTCTGTAGGGCTGCAGCCTAGCCTTCTTCCACATCCCATTCATATGTCCTGCCTGCTGTACAAGCAGCTGGCAGAGGTGTACACCCTTCTGAGTGAACTCAGCCACCTGTGTCATTGCAGCTCTTATCATAGCAACATTTCAAAAGAGTGCGTTGTCCTAACATCAGGGATGAGTCCAACCAGTCTGTCCCAGAGGGCTGATTAGTAAACGCAGTGTCACTAGATATGTCATCGGCTCTTGCTCCTCAATTGTTTAAATGGGAAGTCTGAAAAACCCTGGGCTCTGTCCCAAGACTGAAAGCCAAGAGGAATGTGCTCTAGGAGATACCCAGGCTTCAGGAAATGTGCGGTCAGTTGTGACTGCTAGCCATGACATTTTGGTGTCTCATCGCCATCCTCCACCCATTAGTACTCTGCCACCACCCAAGCAGATGAGTGATATGTCTAGGAAGTCAGACTTGCACAAGTTCTCAGTAGGGGGCTTGCTCTAACAGCTCAGTTCTACATCTCTCAGCAGCTCTGACTGCATGTCCCAGTGTTGCATGTTCTCATTTCCCATCTTTGGCTCAGACATAAATGTTTTTACAGAAAGGTGACTCTCCAGCCTGCAGAGATCAGTGCCAAACCTCCTGTTGACCAACTGGAGCCAGGATTTTACCAGAAGGATCTTAAATATAAAGACAGTGTCCATTGAATCACACTGAGTCTCCCCTCCTTTCCTAGCAGGCTGCTTGAATTTCCCCATAGACATTTCACCCAGGCTTTAAGTTTCCCACACTCAAAGTCCATCCAAAGTTCTGAGTCCATCCAAACTTTGTTGTTGCTCCCATCACTGTCCTTCTGTACTGAAGCCTGCTGACTGCCCAGCATAAGCTGGCATTTCCTTTCACAGCCTGTTTGTTCCCTTCCAGCATCTCCAGCAGCAGCCATGGAATCATCTTTGTCTTGAAAGGATTTGTTCTCACTAATCACCTGCTTGACACACTCATCTTAATTCCTCCTTGATCTTGTCTTTCTCCTTGCTGCACCCATCGTTGGGGATTTTGAGGCAGGTGACTTTCTCATGGCTCCAATGGGAAGGACAGATGGTTGCCAACAAATGTACCCGTGGTGCTGTGTGAGTGTACGTGCCTGCCCTAGGTATAGATTTCATTGATATCTTTCCTTCTGGCTTCCTCAGAAGACGCAAAAGAGTGAAGTCGCAAGGATCCTGCTCTCAGATTTAGACCACAGAATCCATGCAGTATTTTACCTTGCTTCTAGCTTTGCTATACAATACATGGTTAAAACTATTGACTTGCATCCATGGAGAGGGTGGTCTTGAGATTTTACCCTCCTGTTGGACAGTGGTGGGGCTGTCCCATCTCTCAGGGTCCTTGCTCACTGAAGAGTTGACCCTCCTGGTTGGCACCTCAGGCCTGTCTAGTCCAGGCGGGAGCAGCCACACAACAAAGCTGTGCTTGAGTTCCTGTTGCTGCCGGTGTGTCCCTAAGATGGGGAGGGGGGGCACATCCCATGGTTCTTTGTGCTGCAGTCTTCTGAGCCACTCTAGGATTCTTTTCAAGCCCAATGAGAGAACTTGTCTGTCCTTCCTGGCACATGAGGAGAATTGTGGGAAAGCACTGGAGGACTTTCAGCAGCAAGTCTTCACTGCAAAGGCTGTCAGCCTAGGTGAATGCAGCACCAGAGCTCTAGGCTACCCCTCGGAGAGGCAGCTAGCCTCATCTGAAAACACTGCAGGTCATGTTTGCATGTGGGTATGTTTACAAAGGGCTGGGGAAGGGCAACACTGCAGTGAGAACCTGGGTTAACTCAGCAGTGAAGATATACACTCATCCATCAGGGGGTGAGTCATTGCCACTCATCAGGGGGAATTAACAGTGGCTGAAGGGAGAGAGACTTCCTGGCGGTCTGAGGCCCAGCAGTCTGCTCCATCTGTCTTGCCCAGGCAGAGAGTTTATGTGCTCCTCTGCTGGGGGGCTGCAAACAGCAGAGAGGTAGGTAGGGCCAGTCTGGATTAGTGCCTGTGACTCTGTAATCCAAGTTAATTTATCATCAGCCTGGTTGTAAATGCAAGTTGAGGCTCTGGACCCACAACCCCCTGGCCACGCCGCCCACGCAGGGAGAGAGGAGGGGCCAGACTGTGGTTTTTGCTTGTAGAACATAGAAACACTAAATCCTCGCAAGCCTTCCAGGAGACTGCAGTCAGGAGCCCTGGAGGAGTTGTGCCTGGAATGGATGGAAATCTGATTGCTCAGCCCTGAGCACTCCCTGGTGGTGAAGGGAGCGAGACCCAGAAGGGTGGTACAAGGTCCAGGGGTCACCACCTGGGCTCCCGTCAGTCTAGGGGTGACACAGACGCTGTCCGCGATTTCCACCTCCCAGCAAGAACTGGCCAGCAGTCCCTGTTTTCCGCTGTCCCAGCTGCCTGTGACAGCACCAGCCACTGGGCGCCAGCACAGGCTGGCAGGGCTGCTGGGTTTGGTGGCTGTGCCTTCCTTTCTGAGAGTCCCCAGTGGGTGTTTAGGGTGGTTGCTCCTTCAGCCCTTAGGGACTCTCCTTGGCCTTGGCTCTGTGTGGGGTGTCTGGGATAGTAGAGGGGTCCATGCTCTTGTGACGCTCTGCTTTCTTTCACGGGAGCAAGACGGTGGAGTGCCATTGGTCCCAGGGCCATGGCAGCTTGGGGCAAAGGTGGGCAATAAGCTGGCTGAAGCTGCATCTGAACAAGGCTGAAATGAGTGGTGGGCAGTCTGAGGGATGGATCTGGAGGAACAGACATGGGTTACTTGTGTAGGCTCAACCCTGACTATAAAGCCTGTTTTATGCATTGGTTCCTGAGAGCCCAAATTTGTTAAACTTCAAGTGTGCAAGAGTGCTTCTGGGAGCCTAGGAGGGGCTGCAAGGGTGGGCGCTTGGGTGTTTCAGCTCTGTAAAGTGTGTGTGGGCAGATCGGATTGGGATAGGGGCTGCTTCTGTATGTGCTTCCAGAGGCTCTGCAGGGCAGGTGTGCAACAGGTGACCGGGGAGGTGTTTACGGGAAGCCAGACCCAGCAGGAGCTGTGCTTTCTTCATGGGAATGAAGGCAGAGAGGCTGTTCTAGAGATAACCTGGCTTATCCCGAATGGCTCCATTCACAGGTGGGGTGGGAGGTGTGGCACGGTGTCAGCCCATGAAGAGACTCAGTGCTGTTGTGCCCAGGTCCTTTGGGGGCTCACACCAAGGGAAAGTGCCAACTAATTGGAATTCACCAGCTGCTGGCAGCTCACCCCCACATGGCAGCTCACTAGCAAGGTACAGGGGGTTTAAAGTTGAGAGGCTCCTCAGAAACATGAGATGATAGCACCAGTGAACAAACGCCCCCAAAATGTAGGCTTAGCTTCCCATGTGAGTGGTAATCCAGGTGTTTTTCCTTACAGGAGCAGGAAAATTCAGATCCGGAACATCCCCCCTCACTTACAGTGGGAGGTAAGTAGCTCTCCAGTGCTGGTTCCTTCTCTCCTCCAAGATGCTTGCATTTTGAAGAATGTTCTCCTAGTTTATTTCCTTACTTTCCCTTCCTTCATAGGGGGAGGATTGATCCCAGATTCTGAGAACTGAGGCGCTACTGGTTGTCCACTCTGTAGACCATTTTACAGCCTATGTCTTTCTTTCCAAAGTCTTGAAGTGGGGGTCTTGGCTCTTGTGAGCATTGAAAGGTCCATGTAGCGAACTATCATGTTTGCCCTGGATATAGCGAGCTGGGGCTTGAACTTGGGATAGGAGGTACAGGGCTCTGGCAAGAGCTCCAAGAGGGAGCTGAGTTTTGTCCTGTTTTTCACCTCCCCAACAATCTGAAGAGAAGAACGGACTGAGGCTCTAGGGCAATGGCAGAATGTCCCTTATTGCACCTTGCTGCTAGGCAGCTTTTCAGTGGTTGAGGGTGCTGGGGCTTGAGATCCTGTACTTCCTATCCTGAATCTTACAGTGTGGGTGAGGGAGGATATAGCTTGAGGTGCCCCATCTCCAGAAGGTGGCTTTGACTAGAAGAAACAGCGATGCTACCTCTTCTAGTCTCGCATCTGCATGTCTTCTCGTGTGGAGAGTCCTTGGGAAGGTGGTCTGTACTTGGTGTTCTTTTACTTGATCACCAGCTTTGCAAGCATGCAGCTAAGCAGGGACAGTAGCAGCCAGGCTCCATTAGCAGTTATTTGGGCAAGAGAAAGACAAGGTCAGCAACGGGCCATTCTTCTGTGTAGGAGTGTAGAACAGGAATGGGCCTCCTGAGCTAGGGATCCAGCCCTCCCTGTTCACAGGCAGTCATTTATCTGAGGAATCCCCCAAATTACTGCCAGAAATCCCCACATGTGACTACAGGGCACAAGCCCAGAAGCACCCAGAACCCCTGACAATGTGCCTTAGATAAAAGCAGGGGCAATGTGGGCACAGAAGTTGTCAGGGGGTAGAGTGGAGAGGGCCTGATTCTGCTCTGCTTTCCCTCCTGGCCAGGCAGACGCATCCATATTGCTGCATCCTTAGCTCCAGACTTCCCTCAGAGCTGGATTCACTTGCGTTGCTTGCTGCTTTCTTTCAGGTGCTGGATGGCCTTTTAGCTCAGTATGGGACTGTAGAGAATGTGGAACAAGGTAAGAAAGCAGAGTGTGGACTCCCCTTCTCCTGGTACAAGACTCTGCCCATTGCCTCTGAGAGTTCAGCTCTCCCAGTAGCTCCATCCATCTTTTCAGATAGACAATCTTAAGAGTTAAATCTTAAAAGTTAAATCTGTTCCCTGGTAACTTTGGGCCAGGTAAAAATGCTTTTCCTTGGCCACAAGCCCCATTACCTGGGCTGTGAACAGCTTTTGTGGAGCACAGAGCAAACTGGCTAGCAGCTGTTTGACCACAGGGTAGGAAGGCTGTGGATGGCATATGCTTTTGGAATCCAGAAGCCAATGAGACACCCAGTGGGATTCCAGGAAATGCACAGAACCAACCCCTACAAAGGTCTCTTCCATATTCCCTAGCTCCTAGGTGTGGGGTTGCCCACACTGTGCAGGCAGCAGACCAGCTCCAGGCCAGGTGCTAGGTTGGGTTTTGCTAGTAGCCCTTGGTGTTAGCACCCTTAGACTAAAGCAGCTTGCACTATTCATTTAGGGCACTTGCCTGCCCTCAGAGCTGAGACCTGCTGAGCAGCAGTGCTGAATTTCTCCAGCAGCCCCATACCTGTTGGCCAGTTGCACACACCTTCAGAGAGCCTGGCAGGGCTTGGGCTTTCTTGTGCAATTGTGATAGCTGAATTGGGCAACAGCCAAGAGTGGCAAGCCTGGTATTGCACACAGACAAGACAAGGAAATTTCTCTCTTTCACCCCCCTCTCCCCACACATGCATACATATGCACACACAGGGATCCAAGGCCTTGTAGCTAAACAAGATCATAACCTAAAAGCTTAGCTTTCATGTGTGGCAGGGCTATATTTTCTTTTTCTGCTGGACCTTTTTTGAAGCAGTTCCACGTGGCAGGCAGGAGTAGTGGTTTCGTCATGTGCTTGTCATGAGATTTTTCCGTGCTTTGGACTGTAAAAAAAAAATGTATCTGATGCAACCCTACAGGACTCCAGGGATCACTCCTACGGGATGTGAATAAAAAGGGGGGTAATTTTCAGGCAGTGACTGAGACATTAGTGCAGAGGGAGTCTTACACGCTAACCTTGGAGATGTGAGCTTCAAATGGATCCTGATCTGTGCTGCAGGCTCAAACATCCCAAGAAGCAGCTTGCAGCCTCAGAGAAGCTAAACTGGAGCCTGCTGGTCTGTGGACCCAGCTCTCCACCAAGCAGAACTCCCAGTGGGATGTTTAACTGAGTGAGGACTTCAAATCTGGGCACTCTGGCTCAGAATTTCACACCTACCTTGTATAACCAGGCAGCTTTGCAAATCTCAGCCTCCACATATAAACCCAGACTTTAAAGAGAGGAGCTGCCAGCCCAGCTACCAGCTTTCCCCACCCAGAAGGGACTGTTCCCCGTAGCCACAGCATCAAGTCCTGGCATGGGCAGGTGTCAGGGACCGGTATCCTAAGCACAGGATCTGTCTGGAGTTCCTGTACTAGCCTGTGGAGTAAAACCCATCATCAGGGGGTGCTGTGATTGCATGATATCAGTGCCCAGAGTTTGTAGAGCAATTTGCTTTGGACAGTTGCAAAGCTGTTCATGAATTCTCTCAGCCCTCCAGGGAGGTATCTAAGGGCTGTTCTGCTCAGAGGGAGAATCTAAGCCGCAGTGACCGGCCCAGAATCACAGAGTAAAACAAAAGCCTGTTCTGGATTGAAACCCAAGGCTTGTGTCCTTATAGCTCCTGAACAAGCACCCTCACACAGGAGCTGTGAAAATGCAGCTACCTGTAGATTAACCCTTGAGCACCTACTCACTCCATGTATGGAAGGAGGAAATGGGGGAGAGGCCTGGGGAAAGCCCAGGGCCTTTGCACAGAGCCCAGGGGTGGGGTGGGCATGTCCAAGCTAGCCCAAGGCATAAAGGAAAGAATGTCACTGTGCCAGGGGAGGAAATGCTCCTCATCCTTGCATGTGCAGAAGTGGGAAAGCCAGCAAAAGGGGAGTGCTGTTTGTTGGTCCTCTTGGCCTCTTGCCTCTGGGCCAGGACACAGCCACGCTGGTTGGATTTCAGGCGTGCCTGCGTTGGGCGCAGTACAGGGGCCTGAGCAGGTATCTGCAAGCCTTTGGCAGTCAGCAAAGGACTGGACTGCAGGGAAGATGTAAGGTCCTCTTTGGGGTACAGGTTCTGTGCCAGTCTGCCCTACCAGCCATTTGCTGCAAAGACCGTTCAGGTTCCCAGCTTGTCAGAAACAGCCGACCTCCATAGCAGCTTTGACCGAGGAAAATGGTGAAGGCCTCCTCCTTCCATGAGCTAATGCTGTCTGTGTTGCTTTTCCCTTAGTCAACACAGACACAGAAACGGCAGTTGTCAACGTAACATATGCAACAAAAGAAGAAGCAAAAGTGTAAGTGGCCTCTGTTTTCTTTTACCCTTATTTTGTGTCTCTCTTTTTGTTTCTCTCTCCTGGCAATGTTTCCAAGCTTTTGGCAGGGGCCACGAGTTTGCCAAGTCAGCTGACTTTCCTTGTATTCACCTTTGGTCATACTGCACGTCACTGGTGAGGGGCTTGTTTATTTCTATCTAATGAATGACGTTTTTGTCTGTGACAGATGTAATGTTTTTTCCTTAAGGCAATACGCTAATGGTGGTCTGTCCTGTGACTGCGGGGAAGGGGAAGGACAGACATGGTAGGGCAGAAAGAGTGCCTCTCTAGAAGCACCAAGTGAAGGGACTGTGTCTGACTAACAGACAGCAACTTTTCCCCAGTGTTCAGCCTATTTTTTTTCATTCTTCAAGTGTTGGAAGATGATTTTCCTACATGTTTTGGGAGCATATTTCCAAACTGCATCTGATTTTGTAAAGTTTCTGTCAGTTCTTTGTAATATTTCTAGGCTTCTGTGGGTTATTACTCTGTCCCCACACTGTAGTGTAACCTGTGAGCTTTATTAAGTGTTGCTTCCTCTTCCTGCTAGCTCCAGGCTCCAATCTTAGAGTGGCCTGCATGTGGCCTTAACATGGACTATGGGAATAATCCCTTTGACTTCAGTGGGTCTGGTCACAGGAGTGAAGTGAATGATGTGCCAGGAGCTTTTGGAGAATGGGGGATTAAGACTGGATCTAATACTGATTCTTACTCACTTTCTGAAATGCCTCCCCCTAAGTTATTGATTTGCCACCTGTCTCAACCTTTCCATTATGATTCATAGGCTGCTTTTCATTGTGGCTGCAAGTGGTTGTATGCAAGGTGATGTGAATTCATTTGAAAGTCTGATTTTGTTAGACACTCCATCAGATGCTTTTCTAAACTCTAAGTGGGTCAATCAAAAGTTTCTGATGTCATCACTCTGTATAAAATAAAGCCAAAATATTTGCCTAGTGAGATCTGATTTTTATAGCTCTTTGTATTGCTTGCAGTTCTTTTATTCTCTGAAAGGTTAACCTGTTTTTGCTCTCACTGTTAATTACATTAGTGAGCCAGTAATAGACTTTGAAGTTCAACCTTAGGGCCGTGTTCTGCTCCAACAATAGGCTTTAAGGGACTCGGGAAATAACCTTACTGCACCACTGAGAATTATAAATTGGGGAAGTGCCAGAAGAGGATAAAAAGTTGGTTAGATCTTCAAAAAGGAAAGAGGAGTGCTGGCCCCACATCCTCATTTTTCTCCCACTGTTGGTAGAGAGGTGATTAGTTGTGTCAGTCTGAAGTCAGGCAGAAGGTAGGGCATCAGATGAGAGAGGCTGTCACCTAAGAAAGCTTTTGCCTTTCTGAACCAGTTATTCTCCAAGGTGCCACCCTTCCCTCCCTTCCCTCACTGTTGTAAGTCCACAGGCTTCCTTAGAGTTGCTTTCTATGTCATGACTCTATTCTGTTTCTTTCCTACTTTTCCCAGTTGATTTTCTGTATCTTTCTGACTGAAGACTGATTTTAAGATGAGTTCAGCATCACAGCTGTGCTATTTCCTCTTCACCTCAGCGACCTCCACCTTGTTGCCCACCGGTCCTTTCATCTCATTCTCAGTGTTGGGTTTTCCTCTCTTCTACCATGGTGAAGATGCCCCACTCCAGGCTTCACGGTCATGTCCATCACCCCTGTAACATAGCCTCCTTTCCTGTCCCTTTGGACCCACTATTCTTGTCTCTGCACAAATCATGCAAAATCATGCATAGTTTCTTCATCACAGGACCCCTTCAGCTCATGGCATTCTCCAAAGCCAACTCCATGGAGGTCCCAAAGACTGCACTTGACATACGGGTTTGTATGTCTGTCCTCTTGCTTGCATTGCCCAGCTGGTAAAGTTGGTGGTGCAGGGTGAGCTTCCAGCTATTCCCTCCTGTTGATAACCTCTCATAGTTTCATAGTTTTAGGGTCGGAGGGGGGATAAATGATCTACTAGCCCCCCCCCCCGCCAGGGCGGGAGAACAACAAAAGAACCCTAAACAAAAAACGGGACTCAAATGAGTCCAGCCAGGTAGGTATCCAGCCTCTTCTTAAAGATCCCCAGGGTAGGGGCCAGCACCACCTCCCTTGGAAGTTGGTTCCAGCTCCTAGCCGCCCTAACTGTGAAGTAGGTTTTTCGGATGTCCAATCTGTACCTCCTCTCCATCAACTTGTGCCCATTACTCCTTGTTATGCCAGCAGGGGCTAGGGGAAACAGCGTCTCCCCCAAACCCTTCTGGTTCCCCCTAGTGAGTTTATAGACGGTCACCAGGTCCCCCCTCAGCCTTCTCTTGTGGAGGCTGAATAGGTTCAGGTCCCGCAGTCTCTCACTGTAGGGTCTGCCCTGTTGTCCCCGGATCATGCGGGTGGCCCTCCTCTGGACCCTCTCCATGTTGTCCACATCCCTCCTGAAATGGGGCGCACAGAACTGGACACAATACTCCAGCTGCGGCCTGACCAGCGTCGCATAGAGGGGGAGGATCACCTCCCTGGCTCTACTCGAGATGCACCTGTGGATGCACGACAAGGTCCGGTTAGCCCTGCCAACCATGACCTCGCATTGTCGGCCCATGTTCATCTTGGAGTCAATAATGACACCAAGATCCCTTTCCACCTCCGTGCTCTCAAGTAGGGAGTTCCCCATCGTATAAGTGTGCTGCTGGTTCCTACTACCCAAGTGCAGCACCCTGCACTTGTCCGTATTGAAACACATCCTGTTCCTGTTTGCCCACCCCTGTAACCTATCCAGATCCTTCTGCAATCTCTCTCTCCCTGCTAGCGTGCTCACCTCCCCCCAAATTTTGGTGTCATCAGCGAATTTAAACAGGTTGCTTTCCACCCCAACATCAAGATCGCTGATGAAGAAATTGAACAGCGCAGGCCCCAGGACCGAGCCCTGGGGGACTCCACTACCCACCTCCCCCCAAGTCGAGTATGATCCATCCACCACCACCCTCTGAGTGCGACCCTTCAGCCAATCTGCAATCCATCTGACTGCGTAGGCATCTATGCCACAGTCGCCTAGTTTATTAATTAATTATTAATCTCCTTTCCCCTTCTTCCATTACTGCCACGTGACAGAGCATAGCCAGGTCCAGAACATAAAAACCAGACTCTTCTTAGCTCTCCTTGGAGTCTAACCTTCACACTGAGGTATCAAAAGGGAGCAAAGAGGCTTTTCAGTTGTATGAGAACCTACACTTCACCTCTCTATACACAGCTGTATGGTGACTACTGGTTCATGGTTATGGGCCCGTGAGGGAGTGCAGTCCTGGTGGTGAAGAATGGAGTGGTGAGCAGGCAGAGCCCTGATTTCACACACCCTTGGCCCAAGGCACTGGCCTGAAGAGCTGACTGAGCTCTTCCCCTCTACGAGGTCAAGAGGAGAGCGAAGCAGGAAGGTGTATTGTTATGAAGGCAGCTTGTCAGATAAACTCATGTCAAAATCTCACGAGTGCTTTGATCCAAGTCACAGTGGCTAAGGAAAAGCATGCTTTCTTTACCAGAAACTAGCTGCCCAGACAGCCCATGGACCAGCATGCTACAGAGGTCTACAGTAAATTCAAGGCAGATAAATATGAATGGTTGCCAAATGGGCTAATTAGAGATTGGAATGCTCATGGTATAACTGATAGCCAGGTCAAAGTAAAGCTATTGCAAGGGAAGGACAAAGAACTGTGGGTATTCACCAAGCTAGTTTGTTTATTGACTGATTATTGGATTAAATTTATATGCCACCCTCCCCAAGAGGGGCTCAGTACACCTTACAATAAGAAGCAGATAAAAATATTAAAATAAAATGACGTGATAGAATTAGAGATGACCTGAGCAGGGTGTGGGGCCTGGGGCAAATCAGCCTGTGCGGGGCCCCGCCCCCATCTGCCCCAGATAAGCCGGAGGCAGTGGGAGTGGGGGGCAAGCGGCCATACGTGAAGCTGGCAGCAGCGGCGCTGAGTTGCTGCGGCCACTCTGCCCAGCTCCGCAGGGCCCCCCAAAGCATGGGCCCCAATTTGCATCCCCACAAGGACAGCCCTGCAGAGAACAAGCTCCATAGACAGTGCCCTGAAATGTATCCTCAGCTGCTAAAGTCTGCCCTTGCAGTGCTTCCAGAAGAAAATAGAATCGTAGACAGTGAGGATTGGAAGGGACTTCAGGAGGTAACATCTAGTCCAACCTCCTGCTCAAAGCAGGACCAGCCCCAACTACATCATTCCAGCTGAAGCTTTGTCTAGCTGGGTTTTGAAAGCCTCCGAGGATGGAGGTTGCACCACCTCTCTGGGTTACTTGTGCCAGTGTTTTACTACCCTCCTAGTGAGAAAATTCTTCCTAATATCTAACCTAAGTTAGGAAGAATTTGGAAGATGTCCAGGCTCATGCTGGACAAGGAGGAAGGGGTTCCAGAGCTGAGGAACAGTCACCTACACAAGAGTTTGCTCTTGGTTCACATCAGAGATCATGTTGGAACATAAGGGACTAAGGTATGTAAGGTCCAAACCAACACCTTTAATTGCACCCAAAAAAGTTACTGGAAGCCAGTATAGACTCTGGAGCACTAGAGTAATCATTAGAAGGTGGGCTGCCACATCCTGTGCTAACTGCAGCTTCTGGACAGACCTCAAAGACAGCCTGAGGTAGAGTGCATTGCAATAGTCTAGCCTCAAAGTTACAAAAACACGGACAATAGTGACAAGGTCCAAATGTGAACCCAAGATTCTGCTCCCAGAATGAAAGGGTTAACAAGCTGTGGGACAAATCTTAGTCACGTTTCCTTAGTCCACTGCTGGAAAGCACTGACAGACTGTGGTGATGACGGCAGTATAAGAACCTGTAGAGAAGAGAAGAGCCTTTTATTAAAACACAAACCAAGAACAGAAGACAAAATGCAATGGTAAACTAAAGCCAGGGGCCTTACCAGTGCACAATAAATGCAGAGGCAATCACAGTGAACACAAATGTACCCAGGACAA